AGATGATATGGTTAGAGAAAAGGAAATGTCTAGATAAATATTGATAGTTGAGATTTATCGTTTGTACTCATAAATTCACATTTTGACTACGGAATGCACTGCAATGTCCAGTTTAAACTAATTGCACAAGTATAGAGTTTTTATTGTTCTAATCTGTCCTTTAGTTAGACATAGATGGTTCTCAGAAATTCGAGGACAAACCTGTCTTACTGTATACCCTTTACAACTAGATTAACAGGAGCAATTGGATTGAAAAAATGGGCATAGAAAAGCTGAATTAAAAACGGTCTATCTCTTCGTTTCTTGAATCTAAAAGTGAACGGTTGTAGATGGGACATCATTTCACGTCTGGAAAAACTCTTTTTAGGACTCTCTTTATTCACTGTATTAGTAATGTCGTTTTTCCAGAAGATTGGTTTTTCAGGGACTGTTATCATTCTTGATTTAGCCTTCTTAATAATGATAGGCTTAGTTACAAACTTGTCTGGATATTTATTCCTATTAAGCAGATCATAGATAGTGGTAAACTCTTCCTCTATAGGATCATCAGAGTAGAAAGTGGACAAAATAAGTCCATGAAATTGTGTAACTTTTAATCTCCTTTTCATTAACATTCCTTCACTCACTTTGTAGTAAACTAAGCATGTCATAAAAATACAGGTATTCCTCCCTCCACTATGAAAGAAATACTTCTGACACATACGATGAATGTACATTTCATTTTCAAAAATAAGGTTTACAAGGAGTCTCATAGTGTGACTACGGACGGGATCACCACCTCAGTTCAGTTTTGATGTATTTTTTCCAGGTATATCCTCAGAAAGAAAGGATCTCACGTTATTATTTGTTATGACTGACCACTGGAAAAAAAGCTTCATTTACTTAGCTAGTCATTCTGCAATTCGTCAAAGAACAATCCATTTCACATTTCAGTGACCATACTTCACTCTGTACAATAGTGTGTTGATTATTTGCATCTAGATTTACCAAATTTATTATCTTCATAACTTACTTAAAATCTATGGTTATTGTTAATCCAACCCTACACCAACTGATATGAATTGAAAGCCTATTGAAAAAACTAGCGCATATCCAAAGACGACGGCGTAATTGAGAAAGGAATATATTTTATCTCTCAATCCACCATTTTTCTAAATAAAGATTTTCAACGTGATTCAGAATGTAACGAATCACCAGTTTACAGTGAAACATAATCGTCTACTATTAATGATGGGTAGTGGCTAGTAGTGGAATCCAAGAAGCGTAGTTCGTCCCATTTGAGATTCGTCAGCCGGAGAAATGGTGTTTCCACTGAGACTGGGACCAGGTATCTATCATTACCAGCTCCAAAGTGCTACCCACTAGACCATCGAGGTATGATAGTCACTTCTTGTGCGATGGGTACAGTTTTGCTGTTGTTTGTTGCATGTGATATGGTAACATATCACTCAAGCACAGGAAATATCGATGCATCCGTGCAGGAGCCTACATGCCAATAGAAACTGATCAATTCAACACCATTAATAACCACCTTCTTCAAAAGTCGAAATTAAAACAATGTAGATAGGATTCTGTGCAGCAATACTGAGATATCTTTCTCCTTGACCTGAGTGGTATGTGTAAAACTGACTTAAGAAGTTAATAGATGGTTGGTTGGATTGATTGAACGGCAGTCTGTTTGAACCTTGGGCTACCAAATTTATTAATCAAACACTTTATCAAATTCTTTCTTTTCAATTTGTTTTAATCATTCAAATATATTCTTTGAACGTATCATGTACTCTTGTACATTTTTAAACTGTTTCCAACTCTCCAGTCAATAACGAAGTAGAAGAAAAATGTTATGTTGTATGGAAGTGGACACTTTTCGGTGCAAAAAAGTACATCATATTTCTATCCGTCACATACTTGGCTTGAGTTGCAGATTTTTGTACTGTCTGAATGAACTGGCACCATCCAAAGTACGCTTGCATTTCTGTTGATTCTTCATTATGAACTAATGTCCATCCAGAACCAGCTGGCTATTTCACATTATTGTCTTGTATACTGTTATTATTGTCATCATGCAGATGCAATAAGCATTTCGTCTGATAGTATTGTTCTAGGAGTGAATTTGTTGAAAGATTACGTACTGTGAATTCATACTGGCATATATATTGTTTGGAATAAAGCGATAATTATTATTTCTTTTCGTAATGTCTTATATCCTTCAATTCCTGCATAGATCAATCATTAAAGCTCTTAGTAAGTAAACTGTCATGTAAATTTGACCTTTCATTAAGTTTACACTAAGCATAAGTGTCACTCTAGAACACAAGACCAACTGATCAGTGTACTTGTTTCAATGTACAATGTCATATGTAAAGTTTGTGTCTAGTAGAACAAAAACAAACCTTTAGTTAACAATCTGCCCTGGGCAAACTTTCAAGATGACTGAATACTTCTGCGTACTACGTGTATTTTCGACTAAAATGTGAGTTACTTCAAACACGAGTCATATTCAGAACTCTTCTCAGTTGGTGTTACATAAACCTTAAATTTGCTTGGAGAGAAAAAAAATAAAACACCTTGATACTATTAAGCCAAATGACTTTACAGTCAAAGAACGAAGTTAGTTATTCAATAGATGATGGTGATGAGAACTGATTGCATGACGAAATTTAGAATCTACGAAACTTTAACTTTTTTGGGAGTATGAGGAAAAAGGAGCTTTTGGAGAAAACCAGATCATTGGATGAATTTACTGGTAGTCGACAGATTTGAATAAATGAATAGCTAATATATAAATGCAGGTAATATTCAGATAGATCGGCAGTAAACTGTCACGTCAATCACCTAATAGAAGAATCAATCAAAGTAAACATACAGACATCTTCAAATCATCTCACAGATATCTCTGTCTGTCTTTAACATCTCCGGTTACTAACATAAAAGTCTCAAGAATCATAGCCAATGCTAAGAAAGACCAACAGTGGTCGAACGCTTGAAACCTTCTTAGATTCCCCACGTTTAGTGGGTATAGTAGTACAAAGTGAACCACTGCATAGTACACTCAACATTTAATGGGGAATAGGATATCAAAAAGGTGCCAAAGTTGTGTAAGTTAGAGAAAGTCGATCGAGGCTTTCACATCCATGCGGTAATTTCACCACCTCAATCTGATAAAGCTGAGCTGCAGTTTTAATATGAATATTTAAATTAGATAAAAGGCAGCATAATGTTTTGACAAGTGTTACGTCTTTGGTATTGTGAATTTCTACAATGGTGTAACCTTTTCGATTTATATGATCAAGTACTGTCTTTAAATAAGAGAATATTTTCCCCTTTGGAATTTGACAAGTCTAGTGGAAATATACCTTTCTAAGGACCTTTTTCTAGATGATGTCAACATGGGCGATAAAAAGGGTGATTCTGTCACTCTACTGATTATATCCGTCATTGGCAATCATTGGTATTCATCGTTAAAAAAAACTCGTTCTGTTCACTAAAAATGAGACGACCGATTAGAGAGAAAAACAGTGGGTAACACTTACTATTTGTTGATGCTTAAAATTTCTCTTTTTATATTTGGTTGAACTGCTCCACCTATGTGTTGCCAGATGACGTCCTGCACGTAGATGTCTCAATACTGCCTGAATACTGATTTTCATAATCTATTTAATGGTGGTTAACAGTGGAGTCCATAACATACGTTTTGTCCTATTTGGGACTCGTCAGTTGGATGTACCTGCACCCCCCAATGAGTTCTCACTGAGATTCGAACCTCGTACCCATCGTTTTAAACACCGAAACGTTATCCACGTGACCACTGAAGCAGCATGGTCACTTCGTGTGCAACAGGTATCAAATTATTATTTATTGATATTTCTTGTAGCTGGGGGTAACAAACATCTCAATTGCGGTACATGTATACCAATGACCTGAGATCCTACACCTGGTTTCAAGATTATTCAGTAAATGCTATTAAAGGAAGAAAACAAAGCAGAAAAACACAATTACGACACAATGCATGTATATGTATACCCGCCATGGATTTCAGCTGCTTGCGAAACACACACACAAGCGCGGCCAAACAAATTCAGCCCAATAAAATTTACTATTCACGAAGGGATGGGGGGGGGGGTTGTACATAACTTGGCATTCACATAAAACCGAAGCCAGAATGTAGTAGTAATCAATGGCCTTAAATTAGCAATAGGCAGTAGCAATAAGCAGTAAAACAAAGGCACATGAACAACTCAAAGATTAAGAAAAATGAAAAGAACACAAGAGAACAATTCGATTAATGATAAACATCATGAACATAGTGTACGCGCATACGCGAGTGTACAACAGGTAGACAGAGATGCAATTAACAGAAAGACAGTATGCGTCGACAACTCAATATTAACATATTTTGAAGTAAGCAAAGGGAACGGAGTATTTTTCATGATTATTATTGAAAGACTATTGGAGGAGAGAGAATAAGCCTTCGGTTCAGTTATTCTCCTCTTTCAAAAGAGTTAAACAAATACAGAAAATGACACAAGAAGATGGTACCGTTGAATGCATATATACCAGGTATGTACATTACAAGAAGTGTTTATTTTCTCGGTCATTCATTATTCAAAGGGTTCGAAATTACGAAGTAATTAGTTATAATAGTAATATTGATAATTACTGTTATTTTTTTTATGATTATTATTAATTCCTGTACACAAAATACAAATCTTGGTATTTATTGCCAGATAGGTGGGGGGGGGGAAGAGCATTATTTCAGAAATCAATAGGCAAACACTCATCATCACCTCAAAACAAAAGTGGCTGTGAAGTGATTTATCATGGTAATAATTCTGATTATTTATAAGGCAAAGATTAAAATAAACTACCGAAATATCATGAAATAAAATCAAGTTGAAATTTAACAAAATGATTACTGAAATCAAAGAAATTAATGAGTAGTAAGTAGTCTAAAATATTCTTCGAAAATATGTTTAAAAATGACAATTATGCAATGTATTTCAATCGACATCGACGCCATTTTCCAATTGTTGAGTGAATTTACTTCGAAGTTTTGTAATTGATGATCTCGATAGGGAACCGTGTGAACGAAACATCGACTGAAAACCGGAGAAGTGTGAGGAGGGAGGGGGGGGGGAAGAAAGTTAAGCAAAACAAAGTAAGGGTTAGTTCAACATACCAATATTCTACTGATGTATACAAAAAGTACAAGATTTCAATTCAATAACGTGTTATGAACCCCATTCTTGTTGATATATTTTCATGTTAATGTCGCACAAACTCGAACATCTACAGGAGAAAAATAACTAACAAGTTGACAGAAGAAGCAGCGGTAACAGGAATTCAAGTGAATGTGGAGAAGACGGAGGTGATGAAGATACCCAACCAACTACAACAACAAGCACCAATCACCATGAACGGAAGAAACCTAAAGGAAGTAGTCTCTTTCACCTACCTAGCCAGGGCAACATTGTTTCAACTACAGGTGGTGGCACAGGTGAGGATATCAAAGCAGCCAGGATCGGGAAAGCACCACAGGCTTTCATTAATCTGAAATCAGTGTGGATATTTAGTGCAATCAGCACAAAACGTAAACAACATCCGAATTTTCAACACCAATTCAGTCAAGTCAGTGCTTCTATATGGTTGAGAAACTTGGTGCGTCACGAAAAGCATTTCCAACAAACTACAGACATTCATCAACAGCTGCCCACGCTGGTTCGATACCGACACTGAAGATCAGATGGGAAGAATAATAAGAATAGGCAACACGGAACTCTGGGAACGAATCAGCGAAGAACCTACCACCCAACAAATAAGCAGAAGAAAGTTGAGATAGATTAGGCACACACTTAGAGGGCCGACTGGGGACATCATGCACCAGGCCCTCGAGTGGAATCCAAAAGGGGGAACGACGAGTTGGGCATCCAAGGCGACGGTGACATTGAGGAAGGAGATCATGTGAGAAGGAAATGAAAGCTTGTGGGCAGTCATGGTGCCAGTTTAGGAAGACTGTAGAGAACAGAGTGCAATGAAGACGTGCTACTGAAGCCCTATGTCCCACTAGGAACCCAAGGGAAAAATAAATAATAATAATCTAGAACAGACAATCGACAAACAGCATTATACGTAAAGGGAACATGCCTCTCATGCATGCATAAACTATGCTCTAAAGAGTATTGATATATTTGTAATCATCCATTGTTTTATTGGAATCGAATTGTTCGACCTCTATTGGTATATGGGCTCCTATGCGGATGCCTCGACATTGTCTGAATGTTAATCATGATAAGAACCCATCACCCATTAAATATGCAGAGGAAGAAAGTGGAGATGGATTGGATTTGACGTGCACTGAGAAGAGAATTTAGGGACATCACGCGCCAGGCCAGGTCGTCGAGTGGAACCCGCATAAAAAACGACAAGTTGGGCGTCCCAGCTGAGGGTGACATGGAGGAGATTGTGTGAGAAAGAAATGAATGCTTATGGGCAGTCGCCAAGCCAGCTCCAAAAGCCTGCAGAGAACAGAGTGAAATGGTGACGTGCCCTATGTTCCAATAGGAACCTCGAAGGACAAATAATAATAATTCTTCACGGGCTGACATCCGTTGGAGAACCGTTGAACACCTGGGAGCACTGGATAGCTGTCTCGTCCTGGTGTAGGACTCCTCAGCAGTAGGCACCCACAAGTCCCGCAGGTATCGAAATTAGAAACTTTAAGTTTTACGCAGAATTCGTTAATTATCTAGCCATTAGATTGGAGTTCAATGGTTCACGGTTTTCTGCTTCAGTTAGTTCACGATATAGTACGACTGTCATTCAAGATCTTCAGTCAGTATCTAGCTCACTTCTGACTAGTTGGCTCCATTGTGGCTTGTTTATTAGAATTGTCACACTGTAGGACAGTATTATTATTTATTGTATAACATTTCGGACATAATTTATAATTCACAATCATACCAAGATAACTCCACATGAATTGATACAGTTTCGATTCTCTCTCCTTTGTGATGACGGTAGTGAGATCCTGTACATCTGTATCTAGAACACGTGCGTTCCAACTGCACGCAAGGGAGCGAAAGTTGTTAACAGCTTAGTTGTTTATGGAACCAATATCAAATGCATACAATAGGAATGATTCTACTACCCTTATCACCCAGAAGTTGTGGAGTTATCTTGATATCACTATTCATTAACTGCCACATTGAAGTTAAGTCCCTTTTCCAGCAACAGTTGTGCTTCAAACACTAGTCAACAGATTGACAACACACTTTGTTTAATCGACGACTGATGATGTACTCTATTAGGAATAACACTATTCTCTAATGGATAATTTTCTTTCAGTAGCTCGTTGAACCTTATGGATTTTCTGAAACAGCTGATCTTCCTTCATCACTCAAAATCTAAGCTCATCAATTCAACTGAATTGAAACGAAGATAGTCAGTTTTGATATGACAAGTCTCTATAAAAATATATACCAATTAATATGAAACTTGAGACAGTCAGAATTGAACTCACAACTGACCATGAACTGGGTAATAGAACTAAAGTTTCGATTGGTGAAATTATGCTAAGGATAAGATTATGTTTAACTTCTACAGTTTTCAAATTTGAAGACAAAATATATAAACAAACAGAAGGAGTAGTGATGGGATCTCCGATCGCAGCAGTTATACTTATGGGCATTTGGGAACAACTAGGATTAGGAACATTCCAACCTATCCCAAAAGTATGGTGGCGATGTGTAGATGACACTGTACTGAAACCAGAACGCATCCAGAGTGTTTTTCGTACACACATTCACTCGATAGTAGATGGAATCCGATTCAATTATGAATTAGAAAATGAAGGAGAATTACCACCTATGTTAGATTGTAAAATCAAGGGGAGAGAAGATGGAAGCTTACATACCAGTGTCCATAGGAGGCTAGCACACATTCGATTTTACATCACCTTACCAATATATCTGTCAAGTTGGGCCTGACAAAATGTCTACATAATCCGGCTAGGAGTTTGACTAGTAAGTTGGAAAGCCTTAATACAGAAATGGAATACATCACAGAGATACTAATTCTTAATAACTATCCTCCGGAATTTATAAAAACGTTTACAAGGACTGATAAGGGAAAGAGTAGTTATGTTAGCGGTGATTGCAACATGCCTAAAATGGAATTCAAATCGTCTGTAGTGTTGCCACATAAAGAAAGTATATCAGAAATTTTACGCAGAATTCTTAACAATGCTGGCAGGGATTAGGGTGGTATTGAAACCCACAAACTCGCTCAGAGAGAAACTTTGCAGGCCAAAAGGTTCAATATAGCGAGTTAAGAAAAATAATCTAATCCATCAGATAGCGGCTACCTTGTCAAACTTCCAAAGAAGGGAGAACTAAGTCTTTGCAAGAACTGCGCGGAATCATGCTGCTGCCCCTGTCCACCCCAAGCAAAATATTAAACCGCACCATCCTAGAGAGACTCCAAAATGCTCTGGATTCAAAATTACGACCGAAACAGGCTGGCTGGCTTTAAGAAGTACAAATCGTGTGCGGATCAAATTCCAAAGCTACCCTACGCATCATCATAAAACAGAACATAGAATGGCAGTCAACTTTCTACCTCAACTTCATCAGTTTTGAAAAGGCCTTCGACAGCGTCGACCAAGAAGTAATTTGGAGACTGCTGCTTCAACACTACGGTTATAGTGCCACAAATCTTTATCAACCCCATTCAACAGCTACATCAAGACGCTACATGCCGAGTGATTCACAATGAAAAGCTCAGTGACGCCTTTGAAGGGAAGACAGGGCTGTCTGCTATCACCGATGATCTTCCTAATTGTGGCCGACTGCACTGAACTAGATCATGCAACCGACAACTGTGAGGAGCAAGAAGATGGGCATACTCTGGACCGATGAAAAGATCCTAGAAGATTTGGATTTCGCCGATGGTGATTTGTGTCTGTCTTGTCGCACAAACTCGAAGATCTACAGGCAAACACTAAAAAGTTGACAGAAGAGGCAAAGAAGACGGGACTTCCTACAGGTGGACGTGTAGAAGACAGAGGTGGTGAAGATACCCAACCAATTACAACAGGCACCACCACCATCAACGGGAGAAACTTAAAAGAAGTAGTCTCTTTCACCTACCTAGGCAGCATCGTTTCAACTACAGGTGGTAACAGATGAGGATGTCAAAGCCAGGATGGGGAAAGCATGAAAGGCTTTCATTAATCTGAAATGATCAGTGTGCAGATCTACTTCACTTAGCTTAAAGCATGAACAAGATCCGGATTCTCGACACTAATTCAGTCAAGTAAGTCAGTGTTCTATGTGATGGTTGAGAGACTTGGCGTGTTACGAAAAGCATTTCCAAAAGACAGCAGATTTACATCACACCAACAGCTACCACCTACGCTCACTCGATACTGACACTGAAGATCAGGTGACTAGAATAAAAAGAATGAGTAACAAGGAACTGTGGCTGGCTTGCAACGAACCAACTAACCAACAACCTATCACCCAACAAATACGCAGAAGAAAGTGGAGATGGATTGGATTGAACATACACTGAGAAGACCATTCGAAGACATCACGCGTCAAGCCAGGCCGTTGAGTGGAACCCAAATGGGAAACGACGAGTTGTGCGTCTAAGTCGAGGGTGGGATGGAGGAAATGGTGTGAAGAAGAAATGAAAGCTTCTGGCATTCATGGGGCCAGGTTAAAAAGACTGCAGAGAAGAGAATGGAATGGGTACGTCCTACTGAGGTCCTTTGCTCCACTAGGAACCCAGGTGACAAATAATAATAATAATAACAATAATAATAATAATAATAATAGAAGACGCCAGAGAGTGATTACATCTGTGGCATTGTGACCGGTTTTGAGGCGCCTCATCAAGAGTCCTCAACCACTGACTCCTATAGTTTTGGAGACTTCCAACCAGATAGTCTACATCTCACTACACGACCCAGACCAACGGTCAGGGACTTCATCGATTGATACCGTCTTAATCTGGTCACCCTGAACCCTTTACCAACTTAATCCAACTTCCCCTAGCATACCAAATCGAAGTAGGTGGTAGCCTGGAATGAGCAGCATAT